CACGTACGAGACGAGTTCATATACCACTAAGCAGAAGTTGGAATTCATGGGCCATTGGATTGGGTCCCAGCGGCTTAATGATCTACGAGCTCGTTGGCCTTGTAACCGAAAGGTCGTGGGCTTGAACACTGGCTGTGGGTGCGTACTGATGAAGAGTCCCAAACTAGGACAAAACAGCTATGCAATACTCTCAGGTTTCCCAATGGTTCTCTAACTGATGTCAGCTCACGATGAAATCTTGTAACTAGTCCATCAAATCCCTACACACCAATACTTGAATAACAATATTGATTTTGTATTTCCACACATTGTTGCATCATGAAATTATATATATGGTTATATATATATATATATATATATGGTTAAATTTACATATCTAGTTTTTAAGTCATTACTGTTAAACATTTGTTTAAATAACCGCAAAATATCATGAAAAGAGGTTACTTCAAGCTGTACTACCTCGTAGAAAATCAATACACCTCTCAATAAGACGTATATTAGATAGCCTATTTGATGCAAAAAGTTTACTCTAACCATAAACTATATCACTCGTATAAATATTAATCCGTTGATTTCAACTCGTAATTTTAGAATGTGGATAACACTTTCTTTATAACTTTTTCTACAGCATCACGATTCATTTGTTCTTCATATCCATTTCTATCCTCAATTTATCAATACACCAATTATTATAAAATACTCTATCTGAAGTCATAAATTACTGTAGGATAAGAATAAACTGTGTATTACTGCTTTCTTGAAAAGAATCACATTGGTATACATTATTTTATTGCTATTCCCAGGACACTATTGATCAACAACAGCAGCAACAGGAACAACAGAGAAAAGAATTATTTTGAACAATACTCAAGCAGTTAGTGTACACAAAAGACTGAACTCAAAACAAATTCTATGTGGATTTCACTTATTTACATGAATATAACAGAGTGTTTGGTTAACTGATGAATACACATTTGACTACATCACTTTTTTTGTCTTCATTTTATTTCTTAAACATCTGTTGAATACTTTTAACAGTCACAAACACAGGGAAATCATGTTAATCTCTTGTTTATATCTTTCAGATTAATTTTATGACAACTCTACACTAACAGTATAATGAAAGTTAACAGATATATTTATGACAAGCTGGTAATGGAAATAAAATTTTAAATATCATCTAGTAGTAATATTGTCACCACTAGTGCAAGTCATAATCAGTAATAATGATAACAGCCTCATAATTATTGATCGGCCAAATATTCCTAAGAGACTCGTTAGACGTATGTAACGCAGAAAGAGCAATAGATAAGTAAGAAGAGGAGAAGAAGAAGGAGGAGGAGGCGAGAATAAAAATTTTATGGTCTTGACGATGTGTGTATATGTGCGGATGTAGATTCTTACACTGAGTGTCCTACATATCCTCTTCCCACTATCCTGCTTACTTGTTCTTTTCTCTCTCTCTAATTTTCTTGCTTTAATTCCCCTATTAGTTTACTTGATAGTGTTTTATTGAATAATATGCAATGACTGAGATGAAATGCCGAGAAAATAAAGAAAAGAAGGATTATTACGCAGTTTTCCTGGATATATTTCTTAAAAATTAAGACAGTTTGGTATCTACTTTCTAAATAGCTTGATCGATTTGGATTCTTGGTTCACATAATCGCTATTAATACTATAAGTGAAATTTAACTGATAACTGATGTCTATCGATCAGGTTATATAATGCATAATCAGTAAACTAACTGCCTAAATACTGTTGATAACATTAAAGTGAAACATCCTATTGTTTTGGATTTTACTGAATATCATTTCTTTAGAAATAACATTTGAATATACTCAAAACAAATGATAACAGCAACCGAAAGTAAGTGAGGATAAACTTTTAAAGTCAAGGAATAGTAGACAAATGTTTCTTCCTGCTCTGAGGCTCTCAAGCAGTCAACACTCACAATCCCGCGAGGAATGAGGCTTGGAAGCGTCAGTTCGCGCTTCATGACTTAGTCATTAAACTAAAATCCAACTGCCCTGAGTTCGAACTCCAAATGATTCGCAATATAATATCATTTCTGTAGAATGACATCTGTGAATATTTATTTATTTTCTACCAAATAAACTTATAAATACTGTTGTCTTCGCTTTTTAATCTTTTAAGTGGTAATGAAGCATTTCAAAGTACACTAATCTAAGTTTGATAGTAATGGAGCTTCCATGATTACGCTGCTCATTGGGAAAAATTCCCTTAGACGTACAGTCCCACTTAGCCATACATTCTCTGAAATAAAAATACTTACAACTCTTTCAAATGAGATGTGCATTGCACAGATGTGTAACAAGTAGTATTTGGTTTTTGTAACAACATCCGATGTGGCAGTAATTTGAAATGAGCAAGGTTTTTTTCACCGGTGTAGAAATCAATAGTATCATCATCATTATGATTCCTTCAGTAGAAAAGAATTAACTGAATTACTGCAGTTAATGATAAGACACTTTGAAAAATGATATAGGATGTGAACGACGACAAATAACCATTAAGGTCCTTATGACCATGAATAGTTCTTCCATATGACAAATAATTTAATTTAACAAAATAAGACATAAAACGAAAGGTTTTAGACACTCTTCTCGCGATTCCTTCGGTAAATTATAGTACATGCGATTATTATCTAAAAGAATGTGTGACAAAATGCTGCTTCTAGCACTATTACTGTATATACTACTAATTAACATGAGCACATACAAATATTTGTGATTTCAGAGTGATCCATATGAAAAACCACTCATTCAAGATTATAAATTTTGTAATTTTCGACATGCAATCACTTTTCAAGTGAGCGTTGTTGACACTTGCATTCGTCAGCTGAAGAAATATTCGCCTATGAGAAATTCAACCCAGTGTGAGTCGCATAATTTATAAGTAATTAGCAAGCTATTCAAAAGATAAATTTTGTAATATAAGATGGATTCACTTCAATTTCCTAGCTTTGACTAGGGTACACAAAAGCCTATAACACAGTGCTATAAAAAATTAATGATATTCTCACAAACGTGAAAGATTTGAATAATGACCTCAGTATTTGGTAGTAGAGTAATGAAATAAATTTTCACAGTTTTAAGTGATATTATACAGTATAAGCATAGTTTATCACTCAGCTAAATAATAGGAAAAGCAGGAATGCAAAAATTAACTATTACTAAGTCTTGAAATAGGTTCGACTATTCGATGTAAGAAGCCAGTTAGTAGGGAATATCAAGTCCAATTTTCATGCTTACTTGCACTTATCAACAAAGTACATCTGGAATTAGTAGGAAGATCTTTTTTTTCCTGAGATTGGAACCAAAACTTTTCAGGGCCAGATTTTTCCTAAGCTTTTTAAAGATCGAGTGATATAAATGAATTGGAATGGATCGCAGTTTTCTGGTCAAATATTCGAAGTTTTAACTAAATTAGATGACGTAACATGCGCGACAATACGTGTTCATTGGAAGATATGTGAATAATCAAACTAAATAATGATAATAATTGCTTTATTCCAAACAGTTTTGTTTTATACAGCATGGAATTTTCGTCGAATCCATTGACTGAGTAATTGGTTATCATTGGTCGACATCGGCTTTCAGAAGAGATAAACATATCCTAGCCTTTTGAGAGAACAAGAGTACAAAGAGTCTCATCCTGCAGTCCAGTTAAACAGATGCCCTGTACTCCGATTTCCAAACAGTGAATGACATATTTACTTTTGTGAATTGATGAGTTAAACAAACACTTATTGACATATAACTCAGATTTAATTTAATATCATATATGTTTATCCCTCTACCATTTCTAAGCAAAGAGTAATTATACCAGTGAACAAATTGACTAAAAAATAAGGGCCATTGTAAATCACAACATGAGTTGATAGGTGATACACCTATTCTTATGAGATAACTGGTTTAAATTGACTAACAGCAGAACATTAGAGAACTGGCAGTAAAATTCATCGAAGTTAATGTCACTAGACATAACGATAATAATTACAGTAATAATTATTATCATGATGTCAACTAAGATCTTTCTTTGTGCACAAACCTCTGGTTGTCGACATTTCGAAAATCCTTATTCTGTTGGCTTTCTACCTTCAGATGAATCAGATTCCTAAAATCTGCGAAACATTTGTAGCATAGATTGTAAGGGCTTCCGCCAATGAATGACTGACTAATATGAAATGCTTATCCATCAAACTTATTCTTTGATTTTATAAATGTTACAGCAAATGGTATGATAACATCCCTTCATTTGAGTTCCAGGTGTAACATAAAACATCAAGCTTTTGAAATTTCAGTAGCGGTGGCGTATTTTTCCGGGGTGGAGTCACCCCGGAGCTTCACCCCCAACTTCCCCTCTCTATCTGGCTTACTGCCATCTATCTCACTTTTAGGAGGGCATCTGCATCAATGTAAGCTATTAGTCTTATAGCGTGTAATTTAACACATGAACCAGTATTTTCTAGACCTCATTAGTAAAACCGTCTCACTTCACGTTAAAGAAGAATTTTTACATTTCAACGGCAGCAGTAGTGAATTATTATCTTCCTCATTATCGTTCCTCAGTTGAGTACCATAATCCTGTATTACACTAATGAAAATGAGGCCACCTTTGAAATAATTAAGTTAACCTTCAAAATGCGATTTCATTATCAGTGAAAGTTGATTGACAAAGTGATATATTGCCAACAAACACTACGGAAGTGACACCGTCAACTGAATACATCTCATATGTAACGTTTTAAAAGAAATCTCTGATCAACTGACGCACAGCAGTCACACTACAAAGTAGTTACTTGATTAGTTAATTTTATTCATTGTAATGTAGGCTTCCCTGATTAACTTCACGCTGACTCATTTCAAAAAATGTCTAACACCCTTCAGTTATGTATGCGATGCAATGAAGATGTATGTAATAAATAATCAATATAAAAAACAAAAAACAACAACAAATGAGCAGACAAACTTACCAGTAATTACATCATCAAGTGACTGGATTGTATAATTTATGGTTCTGTTACTGTTTTGATTAATAACATTGTTGTTATCACAACTGAGACTATCACTGATAACAGATGAGTTCATTATTGCAATGATATTATATCATAAAATCACTCGAACAACAGAGTAGCTTATTCGCATGCATACTGTAGTACTTTTCAAATCTTCTCCTTTATCCATCGTTTTATCTTTGATAATTAGCTTCATTTTCGTTTTCGTAAGTAAGTAGATTTAATGAGTTTAAATTAAAATTGTTAAACATTCTGTGTGATACATTAATGATTAAAATAAATGTTAATTTATCTACTCATCTATCTATTTATCCTATCTACCTTATTTATCAATCCATTCGTGTATATCTGTCTATCTACATTGTTGACTATCAGCCAACTACTACTACCTCCTTATTTCTAACTTATCTATCTATGTATCTCTCTATCTGAACACGCAGATAATGATAAAATGTTCAGATAACCACTAAAAATCATCCTTGTGTGAGAGAGTAGTGAGAAATCTGACAATGTGAATAAGTGATTGGTAGATAGAATATAGAGAAGGTGAGATGAGAGATACAGCTGTAGTAAATACGATACAATATACGCACAGTCCACCACCAGATTCATCTCATTCACTCACTCACTCACTCAATGGTTAATACGAATGAAAGGGATAAGTAGTAGGCTGTTAAACAACACATAAATGCATAGAGATGGGTAGGTAATTAAATGCACATAGATGGAAAGACAGATAAGAAGATGAACAGATAAATATATAGACCAACTAGTTCCATTGGAAATAAAACTACTAAAGGGGTTGATTGTAATCAACTTCTATCTGACTGTGACTAGCTTTTCAAATTTAAAAATTCTTACTTTCATATTCAATTCTATCATAACGATAGAATAGTCAACCAATAGTATAACAGTCAATAAGCGAAATCTGTAACCCATTTTGCAAAAAAATTGTCTATCCTTAGTCTACTTCAGTGAATTATCTGATAATTTTATTTTTAAAAGATATGAAAAGTTAGATGGGTGTTTCTACAAGTTTCTACAAGTTAAAATTCCATTTGAATTCATTTAATAAAAGAGAAGAGAAAGTACAGATTTTCCGAAGACTTTATTTTAAATTTGATGATATGAGTGAATAAATAAAGACAAGAGGTAAAAAATGCTATCACTGACCAGCATGTTACCAGTTTATTGAGCAGTATACTCTGAATCATTCAGATCAGAGTGAATAAGATATACATTATCAATAAATCTAATTCTGTTTACTAATTTAAATGTACATGTGGAAGGAAATGCATGAAAAGATCACATAGACAATTGTTCATGCTCAGTTTTTGAACACTTACCAAAAATCTTCGGTCTTAAAGAATGATGCTCGGGGAGGCTTCATGTGCTCTTGGAAGTGTGTGGGCGGTTGTTACTTCCCGGCTGCCCACACCGTTGAAGTTGGATGAATCTTCGGGTACCTGAAACAGAAAGAGGGTTAGTGTTGCGTGACCGCAGAGCCCAGGGGACAACTGCTTGAGGCTGGTTTCTTAGTTTGGTTCAGTATTAGTAAACTTACCGCCCGCTACGGACTACCGTAGGATAAATCGGGATATACAATTTCGGGGTCAACCTTTTCTAACCCCCTCTCTCTAGAATGGAGAGACAGAATAGCTGGCTGGCATGTTGGTCATCTGATGGAAACACCTCACTGCTGTTACATCCCTGCTCCCTAGGAGTATGACTTCGCCCACAGACCCCCAGCATAGTGTAAAAAAAGAATTCTTACACAATGCCGGTAACTGCTTTTAGTCTAATAGCTATCCAAACAACCTTCCTGGCATGGTAGGACCTGCAGGAACAATAGTTCCAACCAGTGTAGTTTGTTGGGTCTCTGCGATACGCAAGCCCAACCACCACGTCAAGGTAGCCGCTATCGGTCGGGCATCTTCGGTCTTAAGGGTTGGATTTCTTTCAGCCATCTGCTTAGTTGATATGAGACGCCACTTTGCCGTATCAGAATACTTCAGTATAATTAACATGTTAATTCAGTGTGCACTTCAATTTACTGAAGTCATAATCATTAAACGGAAGTAAAATTACTTATGTTCGATAGGAAATGGTGATCAACCTCTCTTTTACTAAAACGCAAATAAATTTTAAAGCAAATGATTTCATGTATTTATCACTTCAGTATACACTGGTGTGTGCTAATGACAAGAATTTCTACACATTGTATTGGTGAAGTCCTCTTCAAGAATCCTGAATAACGGAACGACAGATTAAGTTGCACAGAAGAGAAATAAAAGTCACTGTGCTACAATACAGAAAGGATGAAATGAAAGTGAAAGAAGCGGAATATGAACAAATTTCGCAAATTTAAATGTAAAATTTCTGTATTTTTCCATAACTCCACTTCATTTAGCAAATACATAATTCTGTTATTAGGTACCACTACATTCTGCTGTTACAATTGATGTCACTACCTCCATCAGGCACCAAGGTGCTGTTGCCTTAGGTCTTTAGAAGAGGGAGATGTTATATGCCTATGCTTCAGAAATATAAGTTTCTGTCACTTTCCCCACAGTAGTATCTTTTCCTATGAATGAACACTGATTCTGTTTTGCATCTTGTAATATGATCATGTGAAATATAACAAAAATCCTTTGTGTGTGGGCGTGTGTTTAAATTGTTGCTTTCATTATTCGGTTGTTAAGTTGCAACTGGCTGAAATGAATTCAGTGATACAAAGAAATGATATTATATTTTCTAGAAAATTTTATTCTCCCTAGGCCCGTTAAATATAATAGGAGAGTTGTTTGGCGGATCGCTGTTCATCTTTTGCATAGAACCCAGTACGACCAAGTAAGGACTGTTAGTAAGACTTATAGGTTTTTACAGATCCAATTAAAGCTGTATTGCAGAACAGTTTACAATGGATAATGCAAAACGTTTGAATGTTTCACATAATGAGGATTGATGGCTTTAGAGATCATCGAAAAACACTTAGTCAAATTAAAAAAACAAAATACCGGTAATTTCTGGATTTAATATTAGAGAATAATCAATACAGTCCAATAATTATTGATATTATATGGTTTGAGGCAACCGGTAGGAAGCCTTGAACCTAGATTTCAGGCTAGCTGGAACTCGTCAGCAAGGCGTAACTGCAACCTTGAAGGAACTCATGTCCCTTTTGAGATTCGAACCCACGTCACACAGTGCTGTAGTCAGAGACGTTACCACTGAGCTATTTGGGCTCGCGGTTGACCTTCTGCAAGGCTATATTGGATACTGTGATTGGACACTAGCTAGTAACTAGTGTAATTTGTCTAGTCCTTTGTTTGGTGCAGACTGAATTCTGTCAGTCAAGTTCCTTCAGTTGGGTCAACTAAGTCAAGGTGATGTGGATGCTCATCTTACGTACTGGTTGAGAGTAGTGTTATATCACAAACTGACATGTTAAGATTTACAGGTCACCAAATTCCAACCCAAGTGACTCAGTGGTGAACTAGGTTGATCTCGTAACCTAAAGATCCCAGGTTAAGGGTCCCTTATAGGGTCGTGGGTACGCATTTCTGAAGAGTCCCAAACTAGGGCAAAACAGTTGTGTAGTACTCTTTGTTTTCAGTGATTTCTAACTGGTTTTCGTTCTACATCATCAGCATCTTCTTGATATTCAGGATTGTCAGCAGCAGTAGCAGTAGCAGCTATAGTCAGGATGTATTTCTTTCAGTGCACTATAAACACTATTACTTTTATTTGTATAATATATACTTTTAGTTGAACAATTCACTAGTTTATACAATAATTACATTGGAATTTATCAGATAAGCTTTGCATAACAAAAAATAAAACCAAGAATCTAATTTAAATCTTAGAACATTATACATCATGTATGTATGTATGTATGTATGTGTAGCAAAACGATTCTTATTTACAAGATTTAATTATGATAAGAAATATTCAAAAGATGAATATGAAGAGAGAGAGAAAAAAAGAGGAGTTAAAGAAAAGATAAAGTTTTTGTTTAGAATTCTTTTTAAATAAAGCATAACACTGATACTCATTATTTTCTATTTCAAGAAATAAAAACAATTTCAGTTTCCTAGTATTTGTTAATGCTTTCACTTTTTTTTAATAATATTTTGAAATAATTTATGTGACATAGAATACACTAGCTGTGTACTCATTCACTTCGATTCGTGTGTGTGTGGGGAGGTGTATGAACGAACAGTAACAACACCATGGATTCGACTATGAATAAGAAGAAGGATAAGGCTTAGTTTAGGGAGGTGAGAGTGTAAAATAAATGAATTCTGTTGCATTTATTACTCTTCAATTATTCTTTAAAATTCTAATTTATTTTTATCCAATCTTTCACAGTGAGGATTTCTTCTCTCTTTTTTTCTCCTCCCTATAAAGATATTTACAAATTTATGTAAGTTATTGTGATGCAAATGGGATAATTTTTTTTGATGACGGTGATTATCGAGAAGTGGAGGATAAAAAAGGGGAACAGGAGGAAGGGGAACAATAGAAGAAGAAGAAGGAGAACTATAACTTTGCATGATAAACAAACTCTTCACAATGAATATTTTGGGGGGTATGAGTAGAAGATAGGAGTTACAGGTTTGAATAGAAAGAAATGATTTTATATCTAAAATATTTTGAATAGAGGAATATTAAGTAAGCAAGCTAATATATACATATACATTCGACGGAAATTACTTCCCATTACTGTCATACTAATTTTTAAAAAATCTTTGATGGAGATTTATGTCATAAATTTGCACTGGTGAAGTAATTATTGTAAGCTATTGATGATTGCGAAAAATTGTTTTGTCCTTCTAGAGAACTCTTCCCACGAAAGCATCCATGATAATTCAGCTGAACGATTTGAATACTGTCAGACATATTCCTTGATTTCAGATTCATTTGTTCGACTCCAACTAACTTTTGTGCTTAAAATTATTTAACTCTAGATACACAATAACTTGAATTATAACTGAGAACAAATAAACTGCAGTTTCCTCCGAAAAATATCGGCCATTCAGTTACTGATTCGTTTGTTGTTTTTTTTCTTTGTAAATCAAAATAATAAATAAAATAAATCAAAAATGAGACAGAGATCAATGGCTACTGAAATGATGATAATGATAAAAATACTACCACTGAGGTAATAATTATTAAGCAGTTATTTATTATATTGTATTGGTGCTATAGAGAAAATGCGCCTAGCGAAACATAGGTGTGCACTACTGATAAGATT